CCCGCCGCTGCCTCCCGCCCTGGTGGGAGCCGGTGCCGGACTCCTCTGCGCTCCGGCCGCAGCCGGGAGCCGCGGGCCGCCCGCAGCCGCAGGTGGCCGCCCGCTCGTCCTCTTCCTCGGGCGCCAGGCAGGTAGGGTCCCTTTCCCTGCTCTGTCCTTGTTGCTGGGACTCCTGTTCGTCCCGCGCCTGGGGTGGGAACATCAGCCTAAGCTGTGAGGAGACGTGAAGAACCACAGACCCAACCCCCTGTAGGATCAGGTATTGGCGGCAAAGGGAGAAGTTAAAGGGGAAAGGGACTGGAGACAAAGGTAAGTGGGTCAGGACAACTCACCACAGTCAGATGTGGGGTGGGACCGTGCTCCTTTGCCGGTGTTGGGAAAACCCAAACCCGACCCAGAGAGACCCCAATGCATATTTACTGGTCTAGATAAGTGAGTGGAAATGTTTCCGATTGTTTCTCTCACTTAGCTTTTAAAGAAGCAAACGCTGTCTTTTGGTTGGCTTCAACAGTTCGGAACCACCAACCAGCTGCTCAGAGAGGGAAAAGCGGGCTTGTGTCTGCAGTGAAGAGTCTAGCTAGGCACAGGGTCTACTCTGTCCTCTAGGGTCACTGCAAGGTCTCTGGACTCCAGGGCAGCGAGTATGGTGTTTGGTTTTCATCTCTAGTAGGATCTCCCCTCCTCAAAGCTGAATACTTTGAGCATTTTTACACAAATAAAGAAAATGTGGGCTCTTCACACCATGGATTGTGTATAGCACTTAAAGTGCAGGAATGAGAGTGGTGGGGATCAGTCAGCATGACTAGATCTCAAAAGTATACCCATAAGTACCGGCCTTCCTCACTGCCATCAAAGTCGATTCCGACTCATAACGACCCTGTAGGGCAGAGGCACTACCCCGGTGGGCTTCCCAGACAGAAGCTCTTTATGGGAGTTGAAAGTCTCCTCTTTGTCCCAATGCATGGTTGGTGGATTCAAACTGCAGACCTTGAGGTTGGCCGCTCAGTGTGTAAGCCACTACACCACAAAGGGATGAAAAATGTACCTATACAAAAATACTTAGGTGTATAAAATAAGGTGACCAGATTTTAACATTGGTAAAGTGGGACAAAAGCGGGACACCATTGATAAAACTCATATCCTGGCGAAATAGCCACATGGCAGCCGAAAACCGTATACCCTAGCTGGTTGTGCATCCTTTCCAAAAATCGGCACTTTTTAAAAACGCTGCGGGACATGGGAAAAATTGTTAAAAATTGGGACTGTCCTGCCAAAAGCTGGACGTCTGGTCACCTTAGTATAAAACAATAATAAACATACTGTAAATCATACACAAGATTCATGTTTGTGGCTCTGTTGGAGAGGTAAGAATGAATACTTTAGTAGGAGGGTTAAGTGGAAATAATGTTTACCTATAAATAATACACAAAAGTAAAACAAATAAGCAGTTGGTAACAGAGATAGTTAATAATGTATTTGTCATGACATTTGCTGCATTTTCTCATGTTTCCAATTTATGAAGTTGTTTTTCAAATGCAAGCAACATCCTGTCCGGGTCAGAACAAAGGATCAGAGGTTGCAACTTACTTGCATCACCAGCAGGGCTTTTCAGTGCTTGACATGACACCTCTAAACCCCGGGAGCCTGGGCTACTGGGAAAACTCACCTGAAACCAGACACTAGAAGTATTAACCAGAGATCAGATCAACCAGTATGCAGGAACTGATTTGCTGTTAATAATCTGATTATTGACCAAGTCACAGTAGCATGTGAAAACTCCCTGTTGCCTGAAAGATGGATCAATTTTCCTCTCTTATGTCCTATGGTTGTAATTTTCCTATCATGTCTCTCCTCTTGTTCTATCAAAATGAAGCAGGAGAAACTGCAGGCTACAAACTGCAGACACGGTGGTTGGCAAAGATACAGGGTTTGTTGGAGAAAGTAGTCTATGGCGCTTGGGTTGTCATTGAGTAGAATGCGGTTTGAAATTGTGAATCAGTTCTCACTGAGGGGACTCTGGACAGTGACCCAATGTATGCCCTCGTGGAACTGTGCTCCTGTAGAGCTTTCAATAGCTCAGTTTCCCAAAGTAAACCGCTGGACTTTAATCATAAAGTACCACTTTGCAGACTCAGCCTCCTCTACTTTCAATTTGTTGCTGAGCACAAAAACTGTACTACTCAGGGCCTTCCCTGTAGTTCCACTGGCTCCTATTGAGCAGAACGAAAGGATGCTTTCCTGTTTTCCTGCCCAAGGAATCTTATGTTCTTTCTGGATATGAGGCATGGTCTCTAGTGTGGTTATCCTACGAGGAAGGGAAAGAGAAAGACAATTCTAACCGGGTTGTGTAGTAGACGGATGGAAGTGATAATAAAGCACCAGCCAAGGTCCCATCCAGGCATGCCCCTCCCTGAAAATGGTTACGCACTCACGAAGTAATCGAAAAGTTGGCAGTTTGAACCCACCCAGACGTGTCTTGGGAGAAAGGCCTGGGGGGCTGTTCCTGAAAGGTAGACGGAATGGAAAATAAGAACCACAACAGCCTCTCTCTGCGCCCAAACCAACCCAACAACCAACAAAGAAGAGCTTGCCTATTTCCACTGCTAAACATCTCTATCTTTGGGGAGCTAAACGGTCTGGAACGGAAATGGTGAGGATATTTCTTTCTTTCTGCTCTGACAACCTGCAAGGTCAATGGTTGGTGCAGCTTTTGTCCCAGGAAGACAGGGTGTTTGAGAAAAAGCTGAGAGGTGAAGAAAGTAACAAGCAGAATTGGGGTGTAGTGTGAAAGCTAGCTGTACCTCAGGTTTGGTGCAGAAATAAAAAGGTTGTAGCCCCAGTCTGACGTGTTCATAATCACAATTCCTTAAAATCTGTGTCCTCTTGGAAGCCAGTCCTTTCTTTCAGACGTCACCCTTGATTAGCCCTTACTGGTTCTGAATTCTAAATGCAACAATCAAATGTGCAGAGAATTCTATTTCTCTTTCCTAAAAACACAGACAAATAAACAGCTGCTGTCAAATCAGTTCCTACTCCTGGTGACCCTGAATTCTTGGCGTCAGCCTTCCTCATAGGAATTCTCCACGCTGTGACCCTTTGGAAGCAGATCACCCAGCTTTATTCTAACGGTGCTCCTGGAGGGGTGGGGGGTTCAAATTGCCCACCTTCTGGTTAGTTGTCACTCACGTGACTACATTGAACTACCTTGGCCTCTTTCTGGGCCAAGAGAAAATACAAAGGTTGTGGTGCAATAGTTTCTTTCAAACTCCCTTTCATCTAAGGAGTTCTGTTTTCCTGCATGTCAATCATCACTTTCCTCTGACTACTTGTTACCACCTGCTCCATGCCCATCGTCCCCCACCCACTCCTACCCTTTAATTGGGTACTTCCTAATTGCTCACTCTCTTTGCTGTCCATTTAATGATTCCTTTTAAAATCCATAAGGCACTTTGCCAACAGTTTGCTTTTAGTATGAAAAGTAGCATTGCCTTAATGAGTCTGCTTTCCAAGCGATGGCTTTTCTTGATTTTCCTAATGGGGAAATGCACTTTTCTTCTAGGCTCGCTTAGGGGCTTCTCCGGTTCACTTTTCAGTTATTTATTCTTAGCCCAAGGTAAGGACACTTTATTTTTCTCCGACTCTACCTCTGCTCTGTTTCCTTCACATGTAGAAAGTCTAAGAGGAAATCAATCAACACGTGCTAAGCTAGAAAAGAATTTGTGATGAGAAATGCAGCTATTATTACAAATAGCAGCAGCGAGGAAGTCTGATTGTTCAAACCTGTTTAGCGTTGAACTGTTTAGCTGAGAGATGGCAGTTGGAATCCACCCGTTGAACTGTTTAGCTGAGAGATGGCAGTTTGAATCCACCCAGAGACATCTCAGAAGACACGTTAAGCTGCTTGAAAACCCTCTGGAGCACAGTTCTACTCTGATAGATGGACCACCAAGAGTTGAAGTGACCTTGACAAGAACTTGAAGAAGTCAAAACATAGAAAACAAGTTCATGAGAAATCTTGTGAGCAAAAAGCAGCAGCAGTAAACACTTATTCTTTGTTGTGCAAATCACCTTGTATACGCAGTCCTCATTATCTCTGTCTGGAGTCATATTTGTCACTGTAAGCATGAGACTTGCTGCGGACAAAGACTTGAGCAAATTTAAAATATATATTATTGATATAGTAATGTCTGGATCTTAACCCTTTTGGGGGTAGATTTGAAGATCGGGCCCAGGGCTCGTGTTTCCACTTGGCACCAATCACTTAGATCTGAGAGCAATTATTTCTTATAGCCAGGGCTGGATTGAGCAGGTCTCCGATCTCTTTACTTAGCTCTGCTGTCTCAGATGTGATTGCCTTCACTCATTTGCACCATCCACTGCCTGTTGGTAGGCATCTGAGCGGTTGTTGGGTACCATTGAGTTGATTCCGATTTAGAGCAATCTTGAGTGCGGGAAAGATTGCGGCGCTCTCTTCACAACCATGCTGGGTTTGAGTTCATTGGTGCAGCACCGTGTCAGTCCAGCTAAGTGAGGTTGTAGTCTTTTGCACTGACACGCTACCAACTATGCTGTCCTCCAGTGACCGCTTTCTTCTGGTACATCAGGCCAAGTATTCTTTCAGGACAGATATGCTGGTTCTTCTGGCAATAAATATATCAATTTCTTTTAGCCAGCACCATAGTTCAAAGGGATCAATTCCTCATTGGTCTTTCATATGCACTGTGTAGCTTTCACGTGCCATGCAGTGATTGAACATGCCATGGTTTGAGTAGGTGCACTTTAGTGCTCACCATGACATCCTGGCTCCTTAACGCTTTGAAGAGATCTTTTACAGCAGGTTTTCCGAAGCAATACATCTCATTTGGCTTCTTGACTGCTGCTTCTGTGGGCATTGATTATTTATCTACATGAAATCCTTGGCAACTTCAATCTTTTCTCCATTTATAAGGATGTTGATTATTGGTTCAATTGTGATAATTAAAAAAACTTGTTGCAATATAATCAGAAGCCATAGTCTTGAATCTTCATCAGCAAGTACTTCAAGTCCTCCACACTTTCAGCAAGCAAGGTTGTGTTGTTTGCATATTTCAGGCTTTTAATAATCTGTCAGGCTTCTTCCAATCTTGCTGCCACATTCTTCATCATCTAGCCTAGGCACTCAAATAATTTTCTTGGCATACAGCTTTAATAAGTATGGCAAAAGGACACAGCCCTGTCATGTACCGCTCATGATTTTAAGTCATACTGTGTCCTCTTGTGCTATTCAAATGGCGGTCTCTTGGTGTGCATATAGATTCTTCATGAACACAATAAGGCTTTTAAAATTATTAAGAAATCATTTTATTGGGGGCTCTAACAGCTCTTATAACAACCCATACATCAATTGCATAAAACGCATCTGTACATGTGTTGCCATCATCATTTTCAAAACATTTTCTTTCTGCTCAAGCCCTTGGCATCGGCTCCTATTTCCCCCCCCTCCCCCACTCTCCTACCCTAGTGAACTTCTGATAAATTGTAAATTATTTTCATATCTTACACCATCTGCTGTCTTTCCACAATAAGTTTTCTGCGATTTCCATTCTTCACAGTGCTGTTCACTGTTTTTTTAATGACCTGTGCAGTGAGATACGTGTGCATAGTCCCAGGTAAGCATCTTTCTGGGATACTCTGGTTTCATCCAAGATCCGTCTGAAATCAGCAATAGTACATCTCCTTCCAATCCTCTTCTGAGTCTTTCTTGAATTTAAGGCAGTTCCCTGTGGATATACTGTACTGATGTAAATTCTTTTTTTTTCAATGCTCTTTGGGAAAATTTTACTTGTGTATGACATTAATGATATTGTTTGATATTTACTGCATTATTTTGGATCACCTTTCTTTGGAAGAGGCACAAATGGAACAGGCACAACGGAATAGCCATCTCTTCCAGTCAATTAGGCTGGTAGCTGTTTTCCAAATTTCTTGGTATAGAGTGCTTTCAGATTGTTGAAACATTTCAGTTGATAGGCCAGCGACTCAAAGAATCTTCTTTCTAATGTCATCAGTACATCTTGGACTTCTTCCTTCAATGCTCTCAGTCCTTGAGCATATACCACTTCCTAAGATGGTTGCACAATGACCAATTCTTTTTGGTACAGTGACTGTGTACTCCTCCACCTTCTCCCCCCCCCCAACAGTTTTTTGGTACATAATTTACATATCAGAGAATTAAATAGTTCAATTGTTCAAACATATCTAGGGGAAACTGTACAATCACCAAATCCATCCTCGGGCCTTCCCTCCTCCCATG